CCCGGAGGTAGTTAATCTTTTGTAAGGATGTAGTTCCTGTCACTGGTAATGTACGGATCCCTTTAGGCCTTTCACAGTTGGTTCAAGTGCCAGAGGGACCCCATAATGCTGCTGATACAAATATATTTGTGTTGGACACCAGCACAGGAGGAGGAGACAGCTGAAAATCCAGATGTCATGTAGGACTGTAGTAGGGACGAATAGATATTCATAGGAGTGTCTATCCACATTTCTTACATAGATCAGTCCACCTTTTCTGTGTCTTTTTACTTGTACAACGTGTACGGTTGCCTCACATGTGCTTATAGAACCACTGTGTGCTGTAGCCCTGATGTAATTGCGAGAAGTCTTGTGGTGGGATTATTACAATGCCCGCTGGTCCTCCATCTACCATTCCTCCCGATGGCAGGAAGCAGTGGCCAGGAGTCATGGGACATGTAGTCCCAGACAAGAGGAGAAAAATCGCACCACTCCTCTGCACAGACCCTTCTCCAGACATAGAAGTATAGCTCGGCAATCGGTGGCTCTAGAATGACGATAGACATCTCTGATGTATCGCTTCTGCAGCTCGCAGACGGTGAATATTGTAGGAGACGGATTTGTGGACGGGCGGACAATAAGACTAGATCAGACGGCAGTCATCGCAGAGTTGGCCTTTCAAATGGGGTTGTGAGACTCTCTGTGGCTCTGTGTTTTTTCATTGTTGTCGTTGTGCCCGAGTTATTCTTTAATTGTTGCCTGTTCTATACTATAAACTTGTAAGTATGTATTTTTGTTTTGCGAGTTGCCAGTGCACCAAAGTGATGCTCATAAATAGATCTCTTGTAGATGGTCATGACCTAAAGACACTCCGAATGCCAAGTTATAGAGATGGATGGTATTTTGTGATATCAAAAGCCGTTTTGTGCAGTGCTACATAAACTACCATAGACTTCGCCCCCACCTGCTGTGCCCATTATGAGGGGCTCCCACCATCCCTGTGCTGAGCTCCCGGGTCTGTACACCTGCTGTGCCCATTATGAGGAGCTCCCACCATCCCTGTGCTGAGCTCCCGGGTCTGTACACCCGCTGTGCCCATTATGAGAAGCTCCCACCATCCCTGTGCTGAGTTCCCGGGTCTGTACACCCGCTGTGCTAATTATGAGGAGCTCCCGCCATCCCTATGCTGAGTTCCCGGATCTGTATGCCTGCTGTGCCCATTATGAGGAGCTCCCACCATCCCTGTGCTGAGTTCCCGGGTCTATACACCCGCTGTGCCCATTATGAGGAGCTCCCACCATCCCTGTGCTGAGTTCCCGGGTCTATACACCCGCTGTGCCCATTATGAGGAGCTCCCACCATCCCTGTGCTGAGTTCCCGGGTCTATACACCCGCTGTGCCCATTATGAGGAGCTCCCACCATCCCTGTGCTGAGTTCCCGGGTCTATACACCCGCTGTGCCCATTATGAGGAGCTCCCACCATCCCTGTGCTGAGTTCCCGGGTCTATACACCCGCTGTGCCCATTATGAGGAGCTCCCACCATCCCTGTGCTGAGTTCCCGGGTCTATACACCCGCTGTGCCCATTATGAGGAGCTCCCACCATCCCTGTGCTGAGTTCCCGGGTCTATACACCCGCTGTGCCCATTATGAGGAGCTCCCACCATCCCTGTGCTGAGTTCCCGGGTCTATACACCCGCTGTGCCCATTATGAGGAGCTCCCACCATCCCTGTGCTGAGTTCCCGGGTCTATACACCCGCTGTGCCCATTATGAGGAGCTCCCACCATCCCTGTGCTGAGTTCCCGGGTCTATACACCCGCTGTGCCCATTATGAGGAGCTCCCACCATCCCTGTGCTGAGTTCCCGGGTCTATACACCCGCTGTGCCCATTATGAGGAGCTCCCACCATCCCTGTGCTGAGTTCCCGGGTCTATACACCCGCTGTGCCCATTATGAGGAGCTCCCACCATCCCTGTGCTGAGTTCCCGGGTCTATACACCCGCTGTGCCCATTATGAGGAGCTCCCACCATCCCTGTGCTGAGTTCCCGGGTCTATACACCCGCTGTGCCCATTATGAGGAGCTCCCACCATCCCTGTGCTGAGTTCCCGGGTCTATACACCCGCTGTGCCCATTATGAGGAGCTCCCACCATCCCTGTGCTGAGTTCCCGGGTCTATACACCCGCTGTGCCCATTATGAGGAGCTCCCACCATCCCTGTGCTGAGTTCCCGGGTCTATACACCCGCTGTGCCCATTATGAGGAGCTCCCACCATCCCTGTGCTGAGTTCCCGGGTCTATACACCCGCTGTGCCCATTATGAGGAGCTCCCACCATCCCTGTGCTGAGTTCCCGGGTCTATACACCCGCTGTGCCCATTATGAGGAGCTCCCACCATCCCTGTGCTGAGTTCCCGGGTCTATACACCCGCTGTGCCCATTATGAGGAGCTCCCACCATCCCTGTGCTGAGTTCCCGGGTCTATACACCCGCTGTGCCCATTATGAGGAGCTCCCACCATCCCTGTGCTGAGTTCCCGGGTCTGTACACCCGCTGTGCCCATTATGAGGGTTCCCCACCATCCTTGTTATGTTATATATATATGTATAAATAAAAATGGTACATTATTATTTATTTTATGAAAAATGTATGGGGAAGAGTTGGAACAGAGAAAGGTGTGCAGGACTAAGGCCAGGAATTCGTCCATCAAGAGAAGGACTCCATCCCCCAGGCTGCACCTATGGCTGACATATCTCTTTTGGGTGTGGAATATATATATATATAATGCTTCAATAACTTGTATTGTGGGTAATAACTGTAGTAATTATGAGGAGTCACCATGTCATTCTCCACCACCTCCGTGCTCTGTGTATCTCGGCGCCGTCCTTGTTGTACTGGAGCTTCTTTGCCCTCTTCTGAGGTGGAGCGGACGGGTCGGGAGAAGTCTCCGCCCCCTGGGAGGTTTTTGCCCGCACTCGTAATGGTCGCCCGCCACTTCCGCCCGCTTCTCATGAGCCGGCGCTTCCGGTCCGCTGCGTTCCAGCCGTGCGCTTCAGTCTAGTGCGCTCCAGCCGGGTTCCCGGAAGCAGTAGTTCCGGGGTGAGGGGTTCCGGCTCTTGGCTGGGGAGGATGCAGATAGAGGAGGCAGGTATTCTGCTTTCATTGTATGGGGAGGGGGGGAGGAGGCCACTTTTGCATTCATGTCCTGCAGTGTGACAGGAGCCATTTCCCAGTGAGGGAATTCAGAGGGTACATTGAATGCTGCCCACTGATCACGACTATTTAGTAGCTTCGGGGGAGTCTAGGGGACATTTCTCTTTATAGGTTCATGGGTGGCTTGTAGCAGAAGGAGAGCATGAGGCGTACCGAGCTGGTCAGCTGCAAGCGGCTCCCTTATGCCGTAAGCCTTACGTCCCTGGCAGCAAAAGGGTTAAAAGCCAGCCGTCGTCATAGGCGGAGCCTTTGAAGTGACCAACGGCTTCAGTTGCTATAACTTTAGTTCAGCGCATTTGTTCTTTGAAGGGGACAGCAGAGATCTTGAATGTCGGACCGGTGGGTTATAGCGCCACCTTCAGGAGTAGGACTGAAGGTGGCACTGTAACCCATCGGTCAGACATTCAAGATCTCTGCCGTGTCCTTCAATGAACGCCTGGAAATCGTTTTTTGTTTTTTTACAATTCCGGATGGTAAAGGGGGGAAAGGTATTGCTGTAACCTCTGTGTGTGGAAGGTGTGGCCTTGTCAGATATACTGACTGGAGGTCCACCTGAGGGGCTCTGTTGTATTCTAATCTATTTTCCTTCCCCTTGAATCCGTATTCAGAGTGCTGATGATGATGATGATGATGATTGCTGTAGTACAACTTCTTCTCCGCATTGGAATAAATCACCGTCCTTTTTTAATGTCGTTCTATCCCTATAGTGGCCCCCAATGTCTAAACAAGCAAATGTACCGTCTTATTCCAGGACGACATGGAATGCATCGACCTGACTCTTCCGAAAAAGGGAAACCAGGAGAAGAGCCATGTGATCGAGGAAAGGGATGAGATGACCGAGAGGGTATTAAGCCTCGCCATGGAGATCATCTACCTGCTGACCGGAGAGGTGAGGAGGATTCTGGGAGCTCACATGACATCACTGATCTCTATTCATAAAACACACCTGACCGGAGAGGTGAGGAGGAGTCTGGGAGGTCACATGACATCACTCTTATCTCTATTCATAAAACACAGACCTGACCGGAGAGGTGAGGAGGATTCTAGAAGGTCACATGACATCACTCTTATCTCTATTCATAAAACACAGCCCTGACCGGAGAGGTGAGGAGGATTCTGGGAGGTCACATGACATCACTCTTATCTCTATTCATAAAACACAGCCCTGACCGGAGAGGTGAGGAGGATTCTGGGAGGTCACATGACATCACTCTTATCTCTATTCATAAAACACAGCCCTGACCGGAGAGGTGAGGAGGATTCTGGGAGGTCACATGACATCACTCTTATCTCTATTCATAAAACACAGACCTGACCGGAGAGGTGAGGAGGATTCTAGAAGGTCACATGACATCACTCTGATCTCTATTCATAAAACACAGACCTGACCGGAGAGGTGAGGAGGATTCTGGGAGAGTCACCTGACATCACTCGTATCTCTATTCATAAAACACAGACCTGACCGGAGAGGTGAGGAGGATTCCGGGAGGTCACATGACATTACTCATATAAAACACAGACCTGACCGGAGAGGTGAGGAGGATTCTGGGAGGTCACATGACATCACTCTTATCTCTTAATAAAATGCAGGCTGAGGGACACATGACCTCTTTTTTTCATGTTCACACTGTGCTACCTCCTCATCTTCCATGATCCGATCTTTGGTGTAACTTTGTGTCTTTTATACGCAGGATTGTCTAATCGTGAAGAAGATATCCGGAGAGCTTCTTACCTCAAGGAGCAGGAGCCAGAGCCCCACCACGGTGCCTTCACCTCTCTCGCTGGTCCAGAAGAATAATAAGGAGCAGAAGATTCTGGAAGTCACGCACAAGATCATCGAGCTCCTGACTGCAGAGGTGAGCGGTGTCGGGGAATCCTGGGACATGCAGGTCTACTTTTGGTGGCCCTCATTTGTGACGGGCTAATATAACCGGTTGACCACTGTGGCGATCTCAACATAAGGAGGTCCAAATTCTGCTGATTTTGTTCTGAGCAGTTGACGATGAGAATAAGGAAACATGAAGGCCATAGCACCATTTCTGGTGGCAGCTCTGTATATGGAAAGATCTTTTTAGGAACCCAGTTGTAACGGTTGAGGTCACCAGGCACTTCTCTTATTACAGGTATGGGGTTCTGAAGATGACTACAAAGTAGAGGTTATCCAGGATCACCAATCTGTGTGCTCATCAGGTAAGTGGAGAGTACGGAGGGTCCACCTAGATCCCCCATCATCTGATACACACATAGAAACAATGTATTCAGTCAGTGTGTGTGTGTGTGTGTGTTTCCTACAGATGGATCAAGTAACGTCGCTTCACGAGAGGGATCACCTAATCCTCATTATTCCAGGGACTGTATAGAAGAACGTCACGGCGTCACACGGTTTTATCAGGTAGGCACTTGTGAGTCCTGCGCCATCTTCCAGTTCTTCCTGGTACATTTTTCAGTTGGAAAGACCGATCTGGTTATCTTTTGTAAAGTTGGGTGATCGTAAAGGTCTCATTTGTCGGTCACCTGAGACCCCGAGTCATTTTATAATCTCTGCTGACGAAGCCTTTTTATCCTGTAGGATGAACACGTAGGGGATTTTAAGATTATTGTCAAGCAAGAGAAGAAAGACGAGCAAGTGGCCGATGACGACGTCATTCATGTGACCATTAAAGAGGAAGAGTATCCAGCGGATATTGGCATAGGTGAGCGATGAGCGCCAAACCACACAAGTTCCTAAAAGTCCCATGTCTGGCCCGATCTGTACTACGTCTGGCTTCCTCTGTCTGTAAAAAGTATCAAGGAAACCTGTGCATGTCCAGTCCAGGGGCAGTCCGTTGTCCTCTTGTGATGGCTTTTGAAATTGCTCCATATAACCGTCCCTGTTCTTGGGTCTCCATAGTAGATGTGGTCAACATGGATAGAAGCTCCTGCACTTGATCAGTCTCCTTGGTAGATGTGGTCAATATGGATAGAAGCTTTTGCACTTGACCAGTTTTCATAGTAGATATGGTCAACATGGATAGAAGCTCCTCCACTTCATTAGTCTCCATGGTAGATGTGGTCAACATGGATAGAAGCTCCTGCACTTGATCAGTCTCCATAGTAGATGTGGTCAACCTAGATAGAAGCTCCTTCACTTGATCAGTCTCCATAGTAGATGTAGTCTCAACATGGATAGAAGCGCCTTCACTTGACCAGTCTTCATAGTAGATGTGGTCTCAACATAGAAGCTCCTCCACTTCATTTAGTCTCCATAGTAGATGTGGTCTCAACATGGATAGAAGCTCCTGTACTTGACCAGTCTCCATAGTAGATGTGGTCTCAACATGGATAGAAGCTCCTGTACTTGACCAGTCTCCATAGTAGATGTGGTCTCAACATGGATAGAAGCTCCTGTACTTGACCAGTCTCCATAGTAGATGTGGTCAACATTGGCAGAAGCTCCTACACTTGACCAGTCTCCATAGTAGATTTGGTCAACATTGGCAGAAGCTCCTACACGTGACCATTCTTGTATAGTGTCTTGGAATGGAATCTTGGGTGAAGCCATATGCTGATCATGCAACTGTCTTTTTTTTTTTTGTATCCATTAGATGGTCGACGTATCCGTCGGACCTCGGAGGGTTGTCTTATCTTATCTTGCGACATGGACGAGAACGTGGTGGTGCAGGATTCTCCAGAAGAAGAGGAGGAGGAGGAGGAGGAAGAAGAAGAAGAAGAAGACCCCATCACCATAGACATCCAACCAGAGCACTGCACAGAAAAAGCACTTGATCTATCGAACACTGGGGGATCATCTCCTGAAATCATTACGCACACGGTGGGGAACATAGTCCTCAATCCTGGATTTGACGGGTTTTACATCCAAAAGCCTAAAACCAGGCAGAGGAGGACACCGCAGCCCAAGCCCAAACCTCAGCCCCCGCCCCAGCCCAAAGCCGTCCGTCGGCGGAAGACTCCTGTAGACGAGAAGAGGTTCCAGTGCTGCGAGTGCGGCAAATTCTTCCCGCACAAATCCTACCTGATCAAGCACGAGCGTTCCCACACCGGCGAGAAGCCCTTCATCTGCTCCGAGTGCGGCAAATGCTTTACGGACAACTCCGGCCTGATGAAGCACGTGAGGATCCACTTGACCGAGCGGCCGTATCAGTGCTGCTCGTGCGGAAAGGGCTTCACGTACAAGGCCGACCTCATCAAGCACGAGAGGATCCACACCGGCGAGAAACCATTCCCATGCTCCAAGTGCGGCAAATGCTTCACAGACAAATCGGGCCGCGCCAAGCACGAGAGGATCCACTCCGGCGAGAAGCCCTTCCCCTGCCCGATTTGCGGCAAGTGCTTTTCCCGGAAGTCGCACATGGCCAAGCACCAGATCATCCACACCGGAGAAAAGCCGTTCCTGTGCCAGGAGTGCGGCCGTTGCTTTGGACGCAAGTCCCACCTCACCAACCACCAGATCCTCCATCGGGGGGAAAAGCCGTACATGTGCCCCGAATGCGGCAAGTGTTTCGCCCAGAGGCC